TTTATGCAATAAGGGCCAAAGTCATTTTTTTTGCTAAGACTTTTGAATTTAGAAAAAAAACAAAAAACACTATCATATTCTGCTCAAAAATATTATACATTGAGTCAAATCTGGTACATAAATGTTGTTCGCCGGTTAAGCTGTAATTAAAAATATTTTTCACCAAAACTTCAACTGCGATTTTCTGAAATATGAACATTTTGATATTGGCCCTTTTAGCTCCAAGCCACAGAATTAAAATACAAGTCGCACAAAGAGAAATGGGGAGCTCAATGTCGAATATATACCTCAGAGATAGAATTGCAATTCAAATATGTATAGTTAGGAGAAAAACTGGTGTTACTGACTGAATTACAAGAATTACAATGCTGAGATGGAACTGGACAGGCAATGTTGCCAAAGAAATGGAAGATGGACCAAAAAAAAAATTTGAATGGAAACGTAGACACAATGCTTATCGTTATCGAGAAGATCCTCCAACAATATGATTGGAGGACATCAAGCAATGGAACTATTTACGGGATACCCATGTTTAGTAGTGGACTTAAAACGACTACTGATGATGATACATGATGAATATATTTTGATTTTCTAAGAACAAAACGTAGTCTCAGTTGGAACAGGTTGAAGAGAAACGTTTATAAAACTAAATACCTAAAAAACTGCCGTTTAAAATACTTAGTATGCTAAAATAGATCAATCTAAGAAGAAAAAGGACGCCAATAGTAGCTCAGTAGGCATTTTTTTCAGTAGATAGTGTGATCAGGAAACGGGCAGAGCTGTGTCCTGTCTCCTACTTTAACCAATTTGTATTCAGAGGAAATAATCCAGGAAGAACTAGAAGAACTAACTACGGGAATAAAAGTAAATGGCCAACCAATCAATAATATACGGTTTGCCGACGACACTATTTTATTAGCGGAATATCTTGAGGATTTACAACAAATAGTTGACAGAGTGATAGAAGTCAGTGAGGTAAACGGACTGTCCCTAAACACAAAACAGACACAATTTATGGTAATTACAAAAGCTCAACAGAGCCAAGAAAACATAACAATACATGGAGAACAAATTAAAAAAGCTGAAAAATATAAATATCTTTGTACAATAATTAACGAAAATAATGAGTACACAGAAGAGATTAAGGCAAAATTCTTTCAACAGACTGAAAAAAGTACTGTGCAGCAGGGACAGTTCAATTTTTTTAAAGATAAGACTTCTGAGATACTACGTGTTCTCCGTATTATTTTATGAGTTGGAGGCTTGGACATTAAAGAAAGATGTTTCGGACAGATTACAAGTCTTCGAGTTACTTATGGGCCTACAGAGGGATATTAAGAATAAGTTGGGTGGATAGAGTCACGAATGTCGAGGTGTTGAGAAGAATGGGAAAAGATAAAGAGGTTTTAAATACAATTAAAGTCAGAAAACTGCAATATCTGGGACATGTCATGAGGGGAGAGCGTTATAACTTGTTGAAGTTAATAATGCAAAGAAGAATACAAGTTATAAACTAAAACAATTTTTAATTGAAGGTGATTACTTGGCAACATCGTACTTAACGAAGCCCTTAACGATAACTTTTCAACGAAATCGTATTGAAATTTTCAATTTTGCAGAGGCGTACCAAAAAAAATTTAATTATTTATTTAAACACATAAGTAATTACGTAAAAATTAAATCTAAGACCGATTTAATTATTAAATTATCATGTCTCTTTTAACAGGTATCTTATAGTTGTCTTGTCTAACAAAATAAAATAAAATTTTATTCTTATTAGAAAGTATCTAAATACAGAACTTCAAAAAACAGAAAACTTTGGAAAATATTTTTTTTTTCATTAGACCAAAAACAATCTGCAATTTTAATTACACATCATTATACATCATTCTCTATTTATAGAATTGCTGTGTGCTGTAAACGTTATATTTATTTTTTTTTAACTTAATTTGAAAGTTTGCTTGTGTTTATTTGTTTATATAAATATGAAAATATATTATGAAGTTCATATAAATTAAAATGAAGTAAGCGAAACTATTATCATATGAATGCGTTTATATAGCAGTGCATTTGTTTATTTCAGTAAATTCTAGAAATATGACATGAAGATGGGACTAACTACTAAAGAGTTGATAGCTTTGTTAGAAGAAGACTCAGATTGTGAAAATGCCACTTAATGTGGTTTATTTGCCGCCGAGATTAGATTAGAAAGTTTCTGATGTAGAAGACATTGTTTTTCTCCTTCTTCTTCCTTCTAGTTTGTAGGCTTTAAAGCCTGTTTCTTCTTCAATATTAGCTTCCTAAATTGTTTAAATTGTCGCACCATCTTTTTCTTGGTCTGCCAATACTTCTTCGTCCATTTGGTCTCTTATCTCGTGCTATTCGTACTATTCTATCCTCCGCCATTCTACTGATGTGTTTGTTCCACTTTTGTTTTCGTTTTGTCACCCATCCATTTATGTCTTCTATATTGCATGCTCTTCTTATGTTTTTGCTTCTCTCCCTATCCAACAGACTTCTCCTTGATATTCGTCGGAGTATTTTCATCTCTGTTGTTTCCACCAGTCGTCTCGTTTTAGATGTGTCAGGTCTTGTCTCAGCCGTGTATGTTAATATAGGTCTAATTCCTTCTTTATAGACTCTTGTTTTTGTGTCTTGTCTTAGGTGTTTGTTCTTCCAGATTGTGTCATTAAGAGAACCCGCCGCTTTACTTGCTTTTAAGCTTTGCTGTCGTACTTCTTCTTCAACATCTCCGTAACTAGTTATATCTATTCCCAGATATCTAATTTCGATTTTACACAGTAGTGGGTATTTAAATGTTATACATTTGTATTTTTCCGCTGATATCATATTGTATTTCTTAGCTGTTGTATTGAAGATATGTGTTAATCTTTAGAGCTCGTCTTCTGTCTCGGCGATTAATGCGGCGTCGTCTGCATAACATAGTATTTGAATTTCTTTGTTTCCAATTCTGTAGCCATGACTTTTAGGTACTGCTTGCATTATTTCGTCCATTAATATATTAAAGAGAAGTGGGCTTAACGAGTCACCTGTCTGACTCCGCTTTGTACTGGTATACACTGTGTTAGTTTTCCATTTATCTTTGCCTGTATTCGATTATGGAGGTAGATGATTTCGATGGTTTGTATAATATTGATTGGTATGTTCCTTTTATACAGTAGGTGAGCAGTAAAAAAATTATTAGCAGATGTATATTATCTGGTTTACACTCTGCGTCAAGTTGATATGCATTGGTCAAAGGATGAGATTTAAGAAGTGCATATTATAAGAGAAAGCATGATGCATGATGAAAGCAGATGAAACCAGATTCGACAATATTGGCCACATTATCAAAAGAGACGATAGTGCAAAAATGTAGGATGTACAAAAGTAATACTATTTATTTATGTAAAAAGTGTAGAATGCATCTACACCCCGAATATCTCGAAAATTTTTACCTTAAAATTTAATTTACGTTTAAGATACAATATGTTCTTTTATTAAAAATTGTACTGTTTTCCTTAAAAATGAAAAAAAAAATCTTTTTGTTTGTAATTTATTCCTAATTTGTGCTTTTAATCCAATCTAATAAATTAATTGTCAAATTTCTCTTTGTATATTGAGCGGCCGTTAAGTCTTTAATACTATATAAAGAATAAACTGGCCTCAAATTTACTTTACTTACCTCAAACCTATTTTAAAGTTAATAATAAAGTATATTTAATAAATATATTCCCAATAATACACTACGCCTATGCACATATGTATAAAATCTGGAAGATATCATATTTCATAAACTTCAATAAACTAAGATATCATATTTCTCTAATTAACATTCTTTCTAAAAACGTAAATATATATAGACCAGCAAAATATTGATAATTTTACCGATGTTCCAAACTATTCTATGAACTTGTCTCACTCTAAACTCGTGAATCGCACCAATTTATATTGTTACGGGGGCAAATTTATCTTACATGGGTTACAAATTTACATATTTACATGAGCGAAGCATAAAAAAATAAAAATGACCCGGTAAGAATTTACTAATGAAATGTTTCATGGTTGCCGCTACCGTTTAGTTCAATTTGTAGATTAGTCACCTTTAATTGAAAATTGTCCGACTTTAGAAGGAGGCGCGGAAGAAGACGCATCTTCTGGTTAAACAATTTGAGAGCTTGGTTTAACTGCACTTCTGCTGACCTCTTTAGAGCAGCAGTATCGAAAGTGCAAATTGTCATGATGGTTCTTAAAGGAGATGGCACATGAAGAAGAAAATAAAATACTCAAAAGTCAACTGTTAAGTAGAATATAAAAAGGTAAATTAGTACTTAGTAAGACAAGTAGTACTATCTGGAACTTGAACTCTTACAAGGGAGAGTAGAGGTAAACTATATAGGTGGGAGAGAATGATTTTCAGAAAGATCTACCGGACCATCTACTGAAATAAAATAGGCAGAGTAATTTAAAGGGTGCCTGAAATTCTGAAATCAAAAAATGAATCTGTTTCATATTTCATAAGTTTATTGAACATATGTATTCCATTTTTTGTTCATGTGTTTTTTTCTTCGTCGAGATCACAGCGCTCATAAATAAACTACATGACTTAGCGGTCACCTGGCAGGTTAAACTTTCTGTAATATTTTTTCTTCTGGTAATATGACCAAATTGTTGAGAGTTTTGCTAGTGCTCCTCTTTCGCAAAAGTCTGCATATTTCATTTTCGTACTCTTAATTTTTTATTATTATAGAGCCTGGTGAGGACTAATAACTACAAAAAAGGTTTAGAAAATAATCTCGTATTAGGTTTTCACGTATAATAATAGTAGTCTTCACCAATAAATTGGATTTTGCTTGATTACATTATGTTAATAAATTTTGTCCAAAAGGTATTTTTGAAATACATATTTATATAAAAGGTCTACAATAGAAAACATTGAATTAATTTTGATGATTGTTTTTTATCTGACTACTCAAGTTAAAAATATTTTTATATTTCAGGTGTGGCAGATGGTGTTGGAGGATGGAGGGCGTATGGTATTGATCCCGGTGAATTTTCCTTACACTTGATGAAAACATGTGAAAGATTAGTTAGGTTAGGTCGTTTTACTCCCACGAACCCTTCAGAACTGTTAGCGAAGAGTTACTATGAACTTCTAAACCATAAGAAAGCTATCTTAGGTAAGATTACATTTTACATACAGGTATTTTTTAGTTATTGGACTAAATAGTCCAATTATTAGCGCTTAATTTCAAGATTCAAGATACACTAACATAATTAAAAACATATATTAAAATGCCACCATGCAGATAAAGCTGGACAAAAGCACAAAAACTAATCCCATAAGACTATAACGGGGAGTAAGACAAGGAGACACCATCTCTCCCAAACTATTTACCCTTGGTCTAGAAGACATTTTTAAGAAACTAAAGTGGAACAACAAGGGTATCAACGTCGACGGATCATACTTAAACCACTTGAGATTCGCAGATGACATAGTTTTAATAGCTGATAATATCCAAGCATTAAATGATATGTTACAACAATTAAATGCAGTTTCAGGAGCGGTAGGCTTAAAAATGAAATACAGTAAAACAAAAATACTGAGCTGAGACCAGACAAATATAACAATACAAAATCATACCATAGAAAATGTTGAACTTTATGAATATCTAGGTCATGTCATCAAACTAGGAAAACCAAATCAAGATGCTGAAATTAAAAGAAGAACTCAACTGGCATGGGGCGCTTTCGGCAAACTAGCATATATCTTGAAAAACACCTCTATTCCTGTAAACTTAAAGAAAAAGTTGTATAACATATGCATACTACCAGTTTGTACCTACGGCTTGGAGCCAGTAGCTCTTGCTCTTACCAAAAATCTGCTAAAAAATTAGAAACAACGCAAAGAGCAATGGAACGAATCATGCTTGGAATACCACTAAGAGACAAGATTAGAAACACCGAAATAAGACGTAGAACGAAGATTAGGGATATTGTGGAAGAAATTACAAAAATGAAATGGCGCTTGGCAGTTCACGTGGTCCGATATAATGACAACAGGTGGACACGGAGTATTCTAGAATGGAGACCAAGGACGACAACAAGAAGCATGGGAAGACCTTAAAAAAGATGGGTAGATGACATAAGAGTAGTGGCAGGAAAACAGTGATAAGATTGGCGCAAGATAGAGAAAAATGGAAGCAATTGGGAGAGACCTACATTCAGGACTGGATGAAAAATGGTTGACAAAGAGAGAGATTAGCGCTTAGGTAAATTTTAGTTTAAGCCTTTTATACAGAATGCATTATTATGTTTTGTCTAACGATTTTGGATAGACAGTTTTTTTTTCGGGAAAATGAGAAACTTATTCAAACGTATAGCTCTGTGTAATCATCCATTTTTGTGTGATTGTGTTTTGTTTTCTTATAGTCATATATGCTTCGTTTCTATTCGCCTATCTTTGTTTTTTTTTTGTAGTTTTTCTATTGCTTTTGTGTCATTTTTGTGCTTGCTGTGATGATCAAATCATCTTAATAATGTTTGTAATTATTTGGAAATTTATGATAATATTGCTTTCAAGATCAGTTTGAATAGTATCGGAGAAATTTAGTCTCTTAGGGACAGCTCGAGACTCATTAATTTTGTTAGTATCTCGAGCTGCATTAGTTCTTCGATAATTTAGATCGTATTACTTTATCGAAATCACTTTTGAAATCGATGAATATTACGTGTGCTGTTCAGATTAATGGATTATTTTTTCTACTGTGTATAAGGTGCATGGCGTTCATTGTCTATATTTCTGGTCTAAAATCGTTTAGGTAATCCCTTAGAATTCTTTCTGCATGTATTTTTAGTCTCGAATTTAAAAACATACCGATTACAAAAAAAATAGAAAGTTTTGTTTTATTTCAGTAAGTGAATTAAGTTTAGCCAACATTAGCGAAATTTAAAAAATTACATAAAGGTAGGCTTGTGTGTAGATTATCTGTATTGTCACAAAAATAACTACAGTAATAATTTCACGTGACTAGGTGTCGGCTTGGAACGGAAAGATTAAATGAAATAAACGTTATCCCATCAGTGGTAGCGCTAGGTCATTCAATAGAAGAAATTTATTTGTTACAATTAAGTTGGTACCTATTAAAGTGAATTTGGATAATGATATTTATGGAAATTATTGAATATAGTAGTTTGTATCAAATTGTGGGGTAAGTCTGATAAATTTCTATATAGAAACTAATCAGCATCGAAATTTTCACTTTATTTATGGCAGCTCTAAAAAGTTGGATGTCGCTGAAGTTAAAGTGGTTCGCCTTCTTTCTCTAACGCTAAGTACCAGTGCCCAATTTATAGATCAGTAAAATAAAACTTATAATGACGATTCAATCATTTATATTTTTGAGATTTATTCTTGAACATAGTTTATAGTAAACATTAATCAACAAAAATAATCCAGTGAACAATAAAAAGGGCCGATATGAAACTTTTATTATTAAATATGAAAGTACGAGCCCTACCAACTAAATGTTCGGACAAACGCAAATTTATTGAACACGTTCATCTTTACAACTTTTGTTATTATAACGAAGAAAGAGGTCAACAATTTATTAAACTCTATCATTAATAATAAAATATTGAAACGGTTCGGTTTCTATAAACTTTGAATTGCAGCGTTGGCGGCAAAATAAAGAAAATGTTGTATAACATCGTAACAACTAAATGTTCGGACAATTCAAGAAGTTACTACTTTAATATGGGGTTACATCGCCACGCGCCTTCATAACCGCAGCAATTCTGTCTGGCATTGTTCGTACTACAGATTTACACAAGTCAAGATCGACACTATCCCATAATTTACCTAATTTACTCTTCAAATCGGTGACGGTTCTCTGGGGATCATTACGCAATTTCTGTTTCCTCTTACACAACTATGTCTCAATAAAATTAAGGTCTGGACTGTTCTAAAATTAATGTCTGAGATCGTACAAGACTATTTTTTAAAATTTCTGGATACTTTGCTGCGTTAATTATGCCTTCCACCACTTCATATCTTCCTAGGGCCGCTGATGACGTACAGCTCCAAATCATAATTTCTTTGGAAAACTTTACAGTTCTTTTAAGGCAATTTTTATGGAATTCTTCATGTTTACTTCTGATAACTCGTTTTCGAAAGTCTCCCATGCAAACATCAAATTTCGATTCGTCACTGAATATCACTCTGAACCAGTCATCAACAGTCCATGAAATCTTCGATCTTGCCCAATTGAACGGTTGCTTAAAGTTCTCATGGACCATTGATAACTGGTTCAGAGTGATATTCAGTGACGAATCGAAATTTGATGTTTGCATGGGAGACTTTCGAAAACGGGTTATCAGAAGTAAAAATGGAGCATTCCATTAAGATTGCCTCAAAATAACGGTGAAGTTTTCCAAAGGATTTATAATTTGGGGCTGCACGTCATCAGCGGGTCTAGGAAGATATAAAGTGGTGGAAGGCACAATTTACGCAGTAAAGTATAAAAATTATCAAAAATAGTATTGTACTAAGTGCTCACGATCTCTACCGGGACTTGAATTTTAAATTTCAGTAGGACGGTGCAACATACCATACGGCTAAAACAACTAAAATGGTTTGGAAGCAATAACATTCAAGTTATCTCATGGCCTTAGAACAGTCCAGACCTTAATTTTAGTGAGACATAGTTGTATAAGATGAACCGTCGTCTATTTGAAAAGTAAATTAGGTAAATTATGGGATGGTTTCGACCCTGTCTTGTGTAAATCCTTAGTACGATCCTAGTGAATGCCAGATAGAATTGCCCCAGTTGTAAAGGCGCATGCCGATGTAACCCCATATTTTAAAGTAGTAATTTCTTGAATTGTCCGAACATTTAGTTGTTACGATGTTATGCAACATTTTCGTTTAGTTTGCCGCCAATACGGCAATTCAAAGTTTATAGAGACTAAGTCTTTTCTATATTTTGTTATTAATGATAGAGTTTAATGGAATATTGATCTCGTTCTTTGGTTCAATAAGAAAGATTTTGAAAATAAACGTTTTCAATACATTTTCGTTTGTCCGATGTTTATATTTTTTTATTGAAAGGAAATATTATTTAATTATAATTTATTTATGATAATAATATAATTTATGATATACAAAATTATCGTAAACTATCAGAAAAAAATACGACAACCAAAGGGCTAATGAACTTGTTAGAAGAGGATCAGCTGTCTAAAGCCGGTCGTACAGTGACAAAATGCACTGCTCGCTACAGGAAAAATCTGGATCTAAACATAAAATAACTATCACTGTTGAAGTATGCACGGTCAAGCATATGGCAAAACTTACATTGGACGGATGTGAGCTCATAGAGATAGTTACGAATCATAACAGGTTTCCGTATTGGACACGTGCTAGTCAAGGCATACCTGTATACAATGAGGTTGTTTCACGGAAACTTAAACTGCAGACTCTGTGAGAGAGAAACAATTAACCGTATTTTGCATGACCAAGGCAAAAGATCGCAGGTAGCAAATAATTTTTGGAGACTGCCCAATGACTCCAAAAATTCTGGAGTGGATACCATGAATAAATCAAAGATATAGAATATGTTGTGAATTGCCTCCTTTCTACAACACAAGTAGCGGGCCAGACGTTGGAACTGGCTAAGAATGTAGACTAGGATTAATCCTTCGTCGAAACAATTTTCCAAGTCAAAATGGTAATAATAATGCATGATGAATTTAAGGGCACTTTATTTTACATTGTAGTGTTATAAAAGATAGTTTTTTTCAAACTTATTTAACTAAAACCAAACTTTACTTTTCTGCTATCTAAACTAAAGTTTACGTAGAGCGCGTGTATTTTTATATAAATTTTGAGAGGTCGAGATGTACCTTCTCTCAGATACGGGAACAGACAACGGAGTCTGTGAAGGCTAGTATATATCTACTGTCAAGTAGGCGACACGATTTCAAGAACGACCTGTTGGACCGTTAATAGGTGCAATGAATCGCATACAATTCAATTATAATACAATGTAAGGATTTTTGCTAAAAGGACTAATAACATAAATTACCGCAAAATCAGGAATATGTAAAATCGCAGTAAAAATACACTATAATCTGTAACTAACGTAGACAAAAAATACTGTTTGTTCTACTATTATGATAT